TATATATATAAATGCACATAACACTGTACTTAATACTTTACACACTTTTCTTTTATTTTATCTTGTATATAAATCACTTTAATTAAACTTTTATCGACTTGTAAATTACATTGAATTTCACGCATATTTACAATAACACATGGTTGCAAACTGACACATAACATGTGTTGCCATATTGTACAAAACAATACATACAAAGAAGGCAATGATTAAAAAGGAATACAGGGGAAATCAATACAAAAGAAAATGTTCAGCTCCTTTTCTTCGCAAAACAGAAAGGAGAATTCTATTGCCTGAGGGTTATAATTCCTAAGTGCGGCCGAAGGCCGCCTACGCAGAAAGGTGTTCTCTGCAAAAGGTGTTCAGCTCCTTTTCTTCGCAAAACAGAAAGGAGAATTCTACTGCCTGAGGGTTATAATCCCTAAGTGCGGCCGAAGGCCGCCTACGCAGAGATTAGCTCTTGAAAAAGAAGGAATCTCGTGAGTAACCTAAGCGCCGAGCCCTCGCAGAAAGGTGTTCTTGAAAAGGTTCAGCTCCTTTTCTTTGCAAAACAGAAAGGAGAATTCTACTGCCTGAGGGTTATAATCCCTAAGTGCGGCCGAAGGCCGCCTACGCAGAAAGGTGTTCTCTGCAAAATGTGTTCAGCCCCCCCTTATTCGGCAACACAGAAATAATAATTCTACTAAGTAAAAATTCCGAATTAAAAATCCGCTTTTATTATTCAAAATTCCAGTCTGGTAGCACTAAGTTGTATGTTATTTTGCTATCTTATTCATCGTTTATATGAAAACTTTAACAATAAATTATATAAGAACTATAGGGTTGCTAGAAAAAAGGGGGGTAGTTTTGAAATCAGGGGGTCCTATTCTACCCCCCCTCATACCCCCTTTTTCTAGAATTTGCCGTCCGTCTACTAAAATTTTCCCAATTAATGTACTATATGAACTTTTTTTTCAAATATTTCTTAAGTTTCTTTCATGAGTGCTGAAAAGCAGCCATGCGTGTAAGAAATTGTGTGCTACCTAAAATTTCACCTCTGGAAACTTTATCCCCATAAAGGACTTCACCACAGTTTTTTTACTGGATATACTGAGATGCCAGCTTTGGCTACAACTACATAAATGTGGTCACATGTATGTATATAAACAAAAAATAAAGTATTAATACCTAAATGTACTTATGTAAGTAAAAAGAAGGAAGTGCAATGCAAATATGTATGTACATATGTATGTTAAAAGTGCAACTAGGTACATATGCAAACAGCAATAAGTGTGGTGCAATAAATGGGAAAAGTGCAGTAGAATGTCTGTTTTCCTAAGCGCAACAATATAAAACATCAGTTTCTTTTAATTGCTTAATTTGTGCCAACTGAGTTGAATGTAAATTGTATAAATTATCATTTCACGGTTGTACACTCAAGAATTGATGCGTTTTTAAAAACAGACATTTTCGGTCAGGAACAATATTTGCATCCGCTGCATTTGCATCAGTTGTTGTAGTTGCATCGACCAAATGCTGGCTGGGTACCTACATTGTATACATACATATGTGTGGAAATAGTTGCAACTGCATAAATGTGTAGATATGTATGCAGTTAAACAAAAGAAAGTGAAGTGCAAGTACCTTTGTACAAAGCGCAGCTGCAACGACGTACATGTGTACATACGTATGTAGGTAAAAAGAGGAAAGTGCAGTGGAAATATGTATATATATATCGTCGCTCGAATAAAGAAACAGTGTAAATGCCAAATACACTTTTATTCGATAATTGCACTATTGGATGGACAATCCTTTAATCTATTTGAAAAATGTTTAGTTTTCTTAAATATCTCTTTGGCTCACTAATTTATTCCCGAAAAACCAAATTGTATTTGTATGGTTTGTAATGGTTTATAAAAACTTCCAATTAGTTTTTCTCAAAACTATACTTTTCATGTTACATTATTTCATTATTCCAGCGACGATATGTACATATGTGCAACATACAATTAGCATGTCATGGGGGTGCTATTTTGGACTTAATGCGTTTTGGAAATAAGTTTTCCTTTTCGTCTAGGTACGATATGTGCAACATATGTATGTACAATTAGCATACATACGGCAAAATATGTAGAGCTACATATCGCCGTTTAAAGTGCAAAACCGCGTATCGTCGCTCTGCAAAGCCGCGTAAATTACCTTTTTTGCCAAAAATTGGATTAGCTAACAATAGCTCTTGGCTCAAGCCTTCTCCATTCGTTCTAAAATATACTAGATAGAAATGCGATTGCTTTACAAAAAAGAAAACCATTTTGACATGAGAGTTTTTACGCCCTGGAATATAATTTACGCAACCTCACATACGCGGTTTTGCATTATCTTGATACGCGGTTTTGTACTTTAAACGACGATATGTGGATACACTTGCCTATGGCCATAATATATAGACGTTTCAATGAAGTGTTTTTTTGGTTTTGTTGCGATATTTTATATTATATATTATTTATTATTTAAAATGTTTAAATTGGTGTTGGATTAACTTAATTAATTAAGTCTTGTAAATATGAGCATGAATTTATCTAAATAAACTAATCTTAATTAAACTATAGTCATCTGCTTTTTGTATAAATAAAATCCATTATTTATGAATTATATTTCATTGGAGAAATAATAATTTCTTACTTTATTTTTCAGATAGAATCTAACTGGTTGCATCCACAACAATAATTTAACCATTTTATTTTAATTTCAGGTTGCTGTACAAAAGACGTCTTGAAGCATCGGCAGCTACATTTAAACAAATATATATATTTTAATACATAAATTATTTATTTTTAGTTATTCAAATTTTTTTAATTTTTCGTTTAGATTGTTTCTATCGGAGAGTCATTGGATGTTGCCCATAGCCATTGGAAAATGCTGCATGGGAAAGATGATAACAAAGATGAAGGGAAAGATGCCTACAAACGTCTCGATTCAGTGCAGGTAGTTGTTTAATTACTAATGCACTTCAATTTTGCATACTTATAATTGTTTGATTTGTTTGCAGTCATCATAGGAGCAGTAAATGGTGTTCGGTGATTCTGCCAATTTAATATGAAGTGTCCGACAAACGCCAGCAGTTACTTGAAATCAACTTTTGTAAACATCTATATGTAAGCAGTGAAAAAGTGTCAAATTTTGCAAAGTTGTGATAAAACTGCATTTTTGTGGACCACTATAAATTATTTGCAACTTTTTATATATATCAAAAGAAAGGTAAATCGATTACCTTTCTTTTGATTATTATATTGTTAAAATCGCTTAACCTTTTTATAGAAACCACATATGTATGTAAAAATATATTTATTAATGTTAATTACAATTTTTATACATAATATTGATTATTAGCTATGTATATTAGGTAATCAATGCATTTTGAAAATAAATTTTGCAAAATAATCAAAAAATTTTTGGATTTTTTATTTAAAGTTTCTAAGGTTATTTTGAATTCGCTGCGAAGAAAATGCAACCCTGCGCCGGCTGGAATGGGGCAATGCTAGACGAGTGCAGCGATATGTTTTCCTTAGGAAGTATCTGAATGAGTGCGACAGTGATGCAAGGCTCACACGTACAGGGGGAAACTGGTGAAAATCTGCACACCGCCCATACAAAGTTCACCAGATTTTTCACCAGTTTTGAAGTGAACGAAACCCGCGGTTTCACCAGATTTTTCACCACTTTTGGCTGGCAGGGATGTTGATCCNCTTTTTATAGAAACCACATATGTATGTAAAAATATATTTATTAATGTTAATTACAATTTTTATACATAATATTGATTATTAGCTATGTATATTAGGTAATCAATGCATTTTGAAAATAAATTTTGCAAAATAATCAAAAAATTTTTGGATTTTTTATTTAAAGTTTCTAAGGTTATTTTGAATTCGCTGCGAAGAAAATGCAACCCTGCGCCGGCTGGAATGGGGCAATGCTAGACGAGTGCAGCGATATGTTTTCCTTAGGAAGTATCTGAATGAGTGCGACAGTGATGCAAGGCTCACACGTACAGGGGGAAACTGGTGAAAATCTGCACACCGCCCATACAAAGTTCACCAGATTTTTCACCAGTTTTGAAGTGAACGAAACCCGCGGTTTCACCAGATTTTTCACCACTTTTGGCTGGCAGGGATGTTGATCCTTCATTTCACTAATTATTTCCTCTTCCGCCACGTGTTCTAAGCAGGGTGAGTATATAACACCTCTTACCGAATTTAAGCTTTCGTGTAGTTTCACGCTAATAGGGCACAGGTTGGAAAAAGATTTAGGCCCCTAATATGAGTTACATTCGATCTTCGACTGTGGTCGAAAGTGCTGATCGAACGAATTTTCATTTGGTATTATGGCGCCCATTCGATGAAGAATAGCGCTATTGTGAACTTCGCTCGTTTATGTTGTTCACAATAGTATATTTTTCACCGCTGAGCTTTGTTTACAAATCGAGCAAACTAAATAGTGTGCTTATACATATTTGTGTAAATTTATGCAAATTAAAATGAAATAAAAAAGAAAGCAAGTTTATAAAAACATGGTAAAAATTAGTACAACGAAGTTCTGGGGTTCTACGATTCGTCAGAGGATGAGAGTTTAGTGAACTGGCCAGGAGTGGTAAATGTTTAAGAGAGTTTAAGTGTAGTCTACAATATATTTTTACACAAAATATATTTAAGAAATTTGTTTACAGATTTACTAAAAACTTCCGACTGTCTAAAAAGGCGTTTGTGACTCAAATCTATTTAAAATATTTTAAAACTATCCACAGCTCTATGATTTGTTCTCAGAGATCGTGCCAACTGAGTATTGGGATTTTCTTTTACATGTAAAAGCAGCCTTTCGAGCTTGTGTTTTGTAAAACTGCATGAAATTGATAAAAATTGTTTAAAATTAGTGTCTACCCGCCAAAAAGTAAGAAAACAAATGCAAAATAATACATTTTTCGCTACACCATCGAAAGCAAAATTCTGTTCCGACAGAAAATTCGATACTCAACGAAAATTTCGACACGGTTGCATAGCTCATAATACGAATTTCACTTTCGATCTTCGATAACTCATAATTAGGGCCTTAGCTTTTAGGAACTTTTCGGCAATTCGTTCGTTACGGGTTAATATAAGTACATTACCGTCGCGGAGTTGGGAAATTGAATCTTGTTCCGTTGAGAAAGATTCTATACATTTTTTAATAGAGAATGGGCTCAATTAAGATAGAGATTTGTTATTATCTGCGGATGATATCAGCCACATCACGACTTGAATCAGCTGGCGAACTATCTGCTAATAAATCGAAGACGATTTGATCATCTGGCTATCACCAAAACTCTAAATGATAAGAAAATCAACTTAGCCCCGGTTTGTATCCAAGCCGTGTATTCTGCTATCTTAAACGACTATAGGAATTCCAACTTCTGTATTTTCTACACGGACGCCTCTGTTGGCCCCAGTTCGGCAGGCTGTGGTGTGTACAACTATACTAATTCAAGTGAGTATACCTTTAAAATCAATCATCCTCAACCTATGCCGAAATACCAGCCATTTTGAAAGCTCTGCAAATTGCCAAAGAGACTAATTATAACAAAATTTTAATATTTACTGATAGCCTTACTGCCTGTAATCTCCTTGCAAAGGACAAGACGTATAACCACCTCATTCTTGAAGTTCATAACCTAATCCAAGCAGCAGACTTTTACAATGTGTCCATTATCTGGACTCCCAGCCATGTCGGCATCGCAGGTAACGAAACTGCCGACTCTTTAGCTAAAACAGCGGTAAGCTGTGATAACATCCTTGACGTTAAATTAACAATTGACGAAGCGCTCAGAAACATACGTAACACAATTTACAATAAATGGTATGAAGATTTCCTTATCTTTTACAGCAACAAACATAGCCTTTTTGCACAAATCTGTACTCAGAGACCCCAAAAACATGGTTCAACAAATTTAAAAGAAGTCCTAGGGAAATTCAAATACTGAATCGAATCCTAAGCGGCTACACTTACGACAATGAGTACCTTTATCGTATTAATGCGATAAATTTTAATACTTGCAGATGTGGAGTCTGATGATTATATTCACCAGACCTTCCACTTTCCCTCGCTTGCTGGCGCTCGAGGGCTTCGAAGGCATACTAAACAGCGCTGATTTTTCCGATATCTTTCGCGGCTTTGACTTCTGCAAAATCACTCTGCTTGCTGAGTTCCTAACTAAAGTTGAAGCTAAATTCTAAAATTTTAATATAACATTAATCATGAACATTACTTATCACGGGTGGAAATACCGTCCTCCTCACTCAATCCTCCCTGTCCTTCCCTCCATTATACCTTCACTCATTCATCACTGTTCGGTCTTAAATGACTGTCCCATCGCACAAGTCAACTCAACTATCTCATCTTACACGCACATCTGATTCACCTCAAATCGCTCCTTTTGACGTCCACGATCTTCTACACGGATTACAATACTACATCTCAACTTATCCGCCACTTACCTCTGCAGTCTTTCGAACAAACAAAGATGTCCAGCTTAAGTCAACGGTAAAGACGACTCACATGCCATTGATCACCTCGGTTTAGTTACACTGTCCAACAACCTTTTGGATCATTCAACAAGAGATTAGCTACGCGAACGCAACTATCATCACTCATCAAGTGCTACTGCACAGTACGCTTTATCCTCAAGGTACACCTTCGTGTAACACGTCAGAACTATTCAAGCAGAGGGATAACCTGGCGTTGGGTAACTTCCCATCGAACTCAAAACAAAAAAAAAAAAAAAAACCTTATCAGTACAACGAAGGCCTGGAAGTGGAAGAAAAGAAGGATTTGTGTCGCAGTCAAAGGCCAAAGAAGTATTGCCATTATTTCGAAAAAAAACCTGGCTTTTCACTTCGACATGCTGCAAAAAAGGTCCATATGTCGAAAGGTTACGTCCAAAAACTGCGCAAAAGTGAAGGTTTACGATCATATAAAAAGATTGTAGCCCCAAATCGAAATGATAAACAAAATAAGATTGCTAAAAGCGTGCGCGAAAATTATACAGTCAAGACATTCTTAGATATGGATGTGTGGTTATGGACGATGAAACATACGTCAAAGCAGACTTTAAACAGATTCAGAGCGTAGAGTTTTATACTGCAACAAAGAGAGGTGGAGTGACAGGTGCCTTCAAACTAAAAATGATGGACAAGTTCCCTAAACAATTTTTGGTGTGGCAAGCCATCTGTCAGTGTGGTATGAAAACCAAAACATTCATTACCACGGGCACAATACATCAAGAAATTTTTATAAAGGAATGTTTGCAAAAACGTTTGCTGCCATTCATTAAACAACATCAAGGCTGTTCTGTTCTGGCGCCATTTAACGTTGTGCCATTACAGCCGTCTTGCCATGAAGTGGTATGAAAGCAATGGGGTAAATATTGTTGAAAAGGACCACAACAAAAACCAAACTGCCCACAATTGCGACCCATTGAATAATATTAGGCAATTGTTAAAAGAAAATTGCTAAAGATGAAAAAATACGCCAAAAATTAGCAGCAGTTTAAAAGGAATTGGCAGAGAGCAGCAGATACCGTCACAAAAACTGATGTCCACCGCTTAATGAGCGGGTTCAAATCTAAACTGCGCCATTTGGTTTATCTTAAAGAGAATTGAAATGAGTTTTTCGTTGAATATAGTAAACTTAATAAAGAAGATAATAAAACAAAAATAGGATTTCCTTGCTTGTATAATTTGTTGTTATAATGATTTTCGACTGACCAAAATTTTTCGTGTCCATTCTTTATTTCAACAATAGTCAAATAAAGTATACTCATCATCAGCTTTCTGACAATATGGCATTGATAATTATGTCAAAAAGGAGCTACTAACTTTAGAGACGACTTTATTTTGACTATGAATATGCCCGATTTTTATTTATTTTTTTTTTAAATCAGTGTTAGAGTATCTCCTTACGCCTCTCAACGCTACCAGCGACCACTCTGCCAACGGAATAGATTTTTTTAAGATTGATAATGGTGAGTTTTGACCGGCTTTATTACATAAATATCCCTGTGTGCATCGGTTTAAGTTAAATGATTATTTTGTATATGCTTTAGACTTTATTGAACACTTTGTTTCATACATATTTAAGCATAAACGTCACGTTGCGCTTTCTCCCATGCTGAGATAGGCCCATGTTCCGGCCGGTATTTCACATTACAGCCATCTGGTTCCAAACGATTTTCATCACGCAGTTGTTCATAGCGGTCACGATCATATTTAGTGAATCCCCATCTTTTAGAAACGTAAATCTAAAAAAAATATATATATATATATATATTAATAAAATGTTTGTACATATACATACATACATATAATGTATTTCTAAGAGAAATTTCAATTTACATAAATTCAGAAAGAATGAGGAAAATCAATAATTACTAGTTTAATTCCGATAAAACTGCATATTTGTGTAAGTTTATATAACATGTAATTGTTCTGGGTTGTTGGACGATGCACTGGTGTGCTTCATAGAGACCGAGCCTCAAAACTCATTTTTAACCCTAGAATACTAACTTTATTTTTTATTCCTTTAATACTAACGTTCGCCTGTGAGGCTACTTTGAAAAAAAGTGTAAATTTTGTCTTTTTAAAACTTTAAGTTTATTTAAAAAATGGACTTAAACATATTTCATATGTTTCTAAAGTAAAAAAATAAAATAATTTAATATTTTTTTTTTTAATAGTAGTAAAAATAAATCGTTTTGAAACTTAACACATATTTTATCACCTTTTTGAGGGGTAATGTTTAAAAATACAAATAAAAATATTTTATAACGAACGAGGTTTTCGTCACTGTACAATGTGCCTCTGCTAACAACCTCGTACAACGCTAAACTGAGTTGGCGTGAACGCTTGCTTTGATCATAAAAAGCGTTCCTGAAATATCGCGCGAAAACCGAACCGAGGGTTAAAATGTTGGGTGTACGGAAAAAAATGAGAGTCCTAACGAAATACCCCATCATCTCGTGTAAAAATATTGGGTTCCTAACTGCTAAAAGTTTGGACCGTACAGATTCCAAAATTGTTTTCCCCGATATCGAAAGCGGCGGACAATTGGAAGTACGCACTGATGGGTTTATGCAGGGTGTATAAGGCGATACTCCAGAAGTATCCCGCCCTGCACCAGTCGTCCGTGATGCTGGGTGGCATCAAGGGCGGGTAAAGCTGGTGGCGTGTGCGGATGAACGCGTCCATGGTTGGACAGCTGTGGCCCGGGGCAGACTTAGTTGCCGTTCATAGGGATGAAATCCCTAACAGGCCGCGAGGCTGGGCCTGGGTCCCAGCTGAACCATCGAATCCGGAGGAGATTCTGGACTTTATCCAACTGGGCAACGAAGGGCTGCCCACAAGTGATTGGAGGATAGTCCGAGTTGGCGAGACCAAGAGGATGCAGCGTTTTGTTGGCTTTGTCATCAATGATGCTTCCGTCCCAGTTCTCGTGGGTTGTGGTGGGGTAATAAGCTATGGCTTTTACTCCATCACGGTAGAAACCCACCGAGTCGGCATCGGTGGCACACAGCGCGGGATCCACAGGAAACACCACGAGTGGACCTGGGGACCTACCAACGGGTGTACCCGATACCGCGTCAGATACTGAGAGCGACATGGGCTCAGTATCTGCCTACATAGGGTCGATATACAGCCGGTGGGTAATGCTGAACGAGGACCAGCTACTGGACTCCTAACCGGAGGAGGAGGATAATGACGTCACAGTCATTGCCACCGCCGAACGGGAGGAGCTAGAAGCAATGGACACCACCGACTCTGAAGATGGTGCAGATAGTACAAATTAATCTGCACCATTCCAAGGCAGCCTCGGTTGGCCTTCTTCTTCGTCTCATCGATAAAGCTGAAGACTTGATTCTAGGCCAAGAGCCTTGGATCGTTAGAAACAAGGTTTGCGGGCTGAACTCTGATGCCTACCAAGTCGTAACAGCTCCAGTAGCAGGGGCCTTATTCTGTAACTCGAATCGAAAGTTGATTCTATTCGAATTTGTTATTCGATTCGAATTTGTTTTAGCATTCTGTAAAAGTTTCGGATTGAGTTTTTTGTTTTGCGAAAGTTGTACCACCCTGTGCCAAAATTTTCGAATGTCAAACGTCAAAATACATAGAAGGAAAACAAATAAATAACTAATTTAAATTAAATAATTGTTATTAATTTTATAAACAAAAAAATGGATTCTGTTGCATTGTGGATAAACGAAGAAATTAATGAAGAGAGAAATGCAAGAAGGGCTATTAGAAATCATTTAATTATTGATGAATTATCGGAAAGAAGGTAAATGCATACATATGTAATGTAACCGGCTATAAACTTGTTAGTGATTATATATTTGAAATTATAGCTTCATAAAAAATGTTCGGCTTTCCAAGGAAGCCTTCAATTATGTGTTGAGAAGCATAGATCACGAATTACATGCACCTATAAGATCTACGGCAGTAACTCCGACAGTAAAACTTGCTGCTACTTTAAAATTTCTTGGGCAAGGGGCTATCAGCACCAAATAGGGCAAGACCGTTTTGCAGGATTAGCGCAATCCACGACTTCTAAATGTATCACAGAAGTGGTCAATGCGATTGAAAAAACTTCATGTCCGAAGCACATCAAATTTGAAATGACCGTGCAAGAAAAACCTGAAGCCAAAAACCATTTTTATTCAAAATTTGGATTACCAGGAATAATAGGTGCTGTTGATGGTACCCATATCCATATGGTTAGGCCGGTAAAGGATGAACATCTGTTCTTTAATCGGAAGCTAAAGCATAACATCAATGCAATGGTGGTAAGTGTTTAATACTTACAAGTTTTTGTTCATACCTTTTCATAACATTCTTTATTAGATTTGTGATCACAAGACGTGGAGGATGGTTCCGTGCGCAGAAGTGGAAAACTTTTGACTGCCATTCACCTGGGAGTGGCCAGAAGCGATTCTTGTGCGTACGGTTCAAATCGCAGCTCACAACGTCCGGATATTTATATCCACGTATCCTCTGGGTAGCAACCAAACACCCGTTTGGGAGCGAGCTAAAGTGAGAAGGCGTAAAACTTCGCGTGCGCTGGGTTTGGGTCCCGC